ATGAGGCTGTCTTCGTACTTGCTGCCTTCGTTTCTCCTCCCTCCTCTGCCTGGCATCAGGGACAAACTCCCTTTGATCTTCACCACTGCTCCATGCCTCAGGTGCCTCCTGTGGCCAACCAGCCTCTCTGGTCCCTGCACAGAGTCTGAACCCTGCCCAGGGTTCTCCACATCTTCTAGAGCCGACTCATAGGGTCCCTTGCTATCAGAGTCCATCGGCAGCTCCAACGGCTCCTGCTGGGCCACAACACTAGCCAAAGGCTACATTTATGTTTGCATGCAGAAAACTGCACATGACTCATTCATTGTGTGCCAATAAACCATTTTAAAATATTCTGCTTCTGATGATATCCATGAATTCGGCCTATGTAATTTGGACTAGCTAAATCGCAGCATTTTTTTACTATTGGTCAAGTATTGAAAATGACAGTATTTCTTGGATTTTCAGTGGACATAGTTTTTGGCTGCTAAAGATAGAGAACAGGAAGGAGAGAAAGAAAAGTGACAAAATTTAGCAGAGATGGGCAGGCTTTATTATTAAAACAAATCCATCCTTCCAATATTGCAAATAAGCTTTTTAAGTTTTAAATTTTAACAATTTAATTAGAGTTTCCAATGTGGCTTGTTCTATCAGCTATTTTTAAAAGCCCATTATTGCTTCTTTTTTATATCCAATGGTTGTTTTGATGCAACAAACCCATACCAGCTGCTATTTAGAGGCAAACCTACTCATAGAAGTTTATTTTGTTCAGACTTGATAGAGATACTTAATTTCTTTTTTCTTTTGCTATATATAGAAAGAGCAACAGTTTCAATGTCTATATAAACAGTGTGTTGTCTAGTTAGTTTGAGCAATCATCATCACAATAAAATTAATCAGTAGTAGTAGTCATATAGTAACAGTGTTTTCTCATCATAATATTAATTATTGTTGATTATCAATATTAATAAATATTAATAATAAACATATCATAATAAGCCCTCATAGTAAAGTTAATCCTTCTCTTTTAACTTCTGATTCTATTAGTTAACCATTGATAAAACAAATCTCATATTTCAAAATATTCCATGTCTTCCTTCTCTTTAATTTCAAGTGTTAATCTATCCATTTCTGCACATTCTATAATTTTTTGTTGTTATCTTCTCCTCTGTAGGGATCTCCACACTTTTCCAATGTTGTGAATTGGAATTCTAGTCACTGTTAACACATGTAGTATTAGATACATAGTCCCTTTATTATATTTTTCTGGTATGATACCAAACAGAAATATTTCTGGTTTTAGATCTATGTGTTCCTTTGTCATTTTTTTCTACCCAAGTATGTACTATCCAGTATGCTTTTTCCTTTGGGCATGTCCACCACATGTGGTAGTAGACATAGCTACTTTCAAGAAGCACATCGGAGGAAGCCAGAGGGAAGAAAAAGCCTTTTGTTATAAGCTACTTTATGAGTTCCCTTTTTGACTTCTCCTAAATGGCACTTTGAGTTAAATGAAGAAAATGTTTCCTGGAACTGATTGATTATTAAATATTTTGTAAAAAGGTCAGCAATTCTTCCATTTCATTCTATTTCCGCAAGATTACATTGTTTCCATGTCATGCTTCTTTAATGAATAATAAAATACCACGTCAGTAGTTGGGTGTAAGATTGTTCTCTTTCATTTTTGTTACTTAATTTGTTAATGATTTTAATTCCTTACCAATTATTGTCTTGAGAAATTATGAACAATTATAGCGATCTTTTAGAATTCTTCAACCACCTTCCTTTTATCACTACAGATTGAATCAGCAGAAGTGTCGGGAAATAGTGTGATATGTAGTTTTCTGCAGTATTTGGAAAAATCTAAAACATGGCAAAAGGCTTGGTGTGTGATACCTAAACATGAAGCCCTTGTTTTATATATGTATGGCGCTCCACAGGTATGTAAAAATGAATGGAAACCAGACCGTAGCAAAGTTCCTTTCTCTCCTTAGAGCAGTGATGGCTAACCTTTTTCTCCTTGCGAGCCACATGTGTGCATGCCCACACTCATAATGCAACTAACTGAAGACCTGTCTCACTTAACAACATAACTTTGGGCTGAATTGTGGTCATTAGGTTCCCACAGACTAGGCCTCCTCCGAATTCCATCAGCCGGCCAGTGTCGACTGGCCACTACCCAGAGGAGGGCCTTCTCTGTGGCTGCTCCGACCCTCTGGAACGAACTCCCCGTGGGGATTCG